ATTGTGTGGTATTGCTATCATTGACACTAACCTCTCCAGCAGAGATTTGGAACATATCCCGAAATCCATTTGAGACTATCTCATGTGGAAAAATAGCACCACACTAATCACATCACAGTTTTGTTTGTAAAGGAACTAAAGGATGCAATTAATCCCTAAAATCCTGCTGCTTAAAATGTCCTTAAGTTTGGTTTGTGAGCCATTTCTTTGTCTACTTCTGTCTTTTTCGTTTGTTTCACATAGACCGTAATGACATTTCAACAAGAATAATATAATAGTTCACAGTTCCGAGTGCTGTTCCAAAAGTTTTTACATAGACTCTCATTTAGTGCTTGGAGTAAGCCATTTCACAGACCAGGAAACTGGAGCTCAGAGGTTATTTAGGAAGTCATGTTTAGTGCTTGAGGTGAGGTGGGCAGAGGAGGAGGCCTTTTAGGGAATGGCATTTAAGTTGAGCTGGCTGTGCGGTGATCTAAGAGCACGGCACATACAAAGGCCCTCAGGTAAAGAAGCAGAAAGGGGTCTGGCGGAAGTGTGGTGAGCCTGCTAAGATGAGTGGGTGAGATGGTTGTCTGGCGATAGAATGTTGGCTCCTGAGAACAAGGCCCCTGTCTGCGGTCAGTGCTGTAGCCACATTGTGGAGCCCACTGCCTGGTATACAGTAGGTGCTCCGTATTGTTGGACTGAGACTAGATAGAAGATTCAGGCCCGTTTATTTGGGACACACAGCCTAAACCGTAACCCTCAACCTAGATGTCTGCAAGTCTTAGGTGCCCCCACCTGTCACTTGTGGCCTCTTGACAAACACTGGATCTGGCGCATTTGGGCCAATGTTTCGTTCTCCAAGTGACCCGTAGCAGATGAGAAGCTGCCATAAAGCCGTGTATTTCTGTTCATGGCCCAACCACCCCTGCCTTTGTTAAGTGTTGGGAGATGTCAGAAGATCTGTGGGGTTCCCTTCAGTGAGGCTGGTCCTTACCGAGCCTTAGTCTTTCCTTGGTTCCCCAAAATGGAGAAGAAACCTTTCTTTGAGTGATTTGGTCTGAGTCTTTCTGTGGTTGGTAATCTTTAAGAAAGGACAATAGTCTTTGACTCCTTGCCTTGAAGAGGGTACCTGCCCAGCAGCTTTTTCTTTTTTTTTTTTTTTAATTTATTTGACAGAGAGAGATCTCAAGTAGGCAAAGAGGCAGGCAGAGAGAGAGGGGGAAGCAGGCTCCCTGCTGAGCAGAGAGCCCGATGTGGGGCTCGATCCCAGGACCCTGGGATCATGACCTGAGCCAAAAGCAGAGGCTTTAACCCACTGAGCCACCCAGGCACCCCTGCCCAGCAACTTTTAAAGTTGATCTCTGTGGGAAGGATGAGAAAGGAGACTATTCTCTCCTTACGAGCATCTGAACATTCACAGTTCTGCCCCCTCCGGTCCCCTTCCTAATCTACTCTTAAGCCGAGATAATTATGATATGGCCTCAACCTGGAGCCCTTCCTGTTCTGTCCCCAGCCTCATTGGAGTATTATCTGGGGCCCATTAGATCATGTGGGGTGGTTTTTATTATGGCATTTAACATTTAACATTTTATTATGGCATATTAACATTATGGACCCAGGTAGGATGCTTGAAGTGTAAGATTGTCTGCAGGAGCATGGGAGCCAGACCTAAGGCTGAGCCCTGCCTCTACTGTCTGCATGCTGTGTGAACTTGGCCAAGTTGCCTCACTCCTCTGAGTCAGTCTCCGCCACTCGTAAAACAAAGGCATTAGCTACTTACTGTGAAGATTAAATGAGGTAATACATGTAAATATTAGTTTTGTAGGCATTTTTCTCTTCTGTCCTCCACTTGATTACTTAATTCCTCATGGCCCTTAGGCTCTGTTTTTACATAGTTTTTCCCAGTAAGGTGTTATTTCAAATCTTGATCATTAGTAAAACTTTACATACCCTCTGGCTTAAAACGGTGAGAATTCGTGTGATATAGTTATTTGTAATATTCCTTGTGTGCAGCCTGTGTAGTGACTTATGGATGGTTGAAGTAAGTGACATAAAAGGATGCTATTTGTCTTACTGGAGGGTTTTCAGTGTGTGTTTTCTGCTCTTCCTTTTCAGTACCCCTGAAGGAGAAGAAGCTCTTGGATGTGAAACTAGGAGAGCTGCCCAGCTGGATACTGATGCGGGATTTCACCCCTAAGGGCATTGCTGGCGCATTTCAAAGAGGTCAGAGCCATGTGTAAAAAAAGAACAAATTTCTGGGTCTTCTGGTCTCCCTTTCCTCTGAACTAATCGAGCAGTCAAGGCCTTGTCTCAGACCAGTATGTAGAGGAGGATAGGGTCAGGTTGTTAGCCCCTGAAGCTCGGTGTTTGGTGACTGGCCCTGTCACAGGCTGGTTCTAAGATTAATTTCAGCCACGAAAATGTTTTCTGCTGCTTGGAATTGGTACCACTGCCTTCGCATTTTTGTCATAAGATGTCTTAAAGAGGAGAATGAGTTTAAAGCATAGTGGACGTTAGACCATAATGTAATGCTCATCCCCCTGTCAGGCAAAACTTCCAGGATGGATGTTTGAAATGATCTGTCCTTCAGGTCTGTGCATGGTCACATCAGTCCCATGGGGTTCCTGTCCTCATTCCAGGAATCAGAGACTCACATGAACCCACAGATGCTGTGTAATCTCTGGCTTCAGGCCCCTCTGAGGCCTTTCCTTAGATTAGAATTCTCTGCCTTTTCCCCATAGTTGGTGACAACAGTCCCTGACTTCATAGCTTCCCTCACTGCTATAAACCAGGGCCTTCTAGAATCATTTCAATCTTTGTCAGCCAAGCCACAAGACCAAAAGAGGGCAGAAACTGTTTCCTCACTGGTGGAGATGATGGCACAAAGCCTTCTTCCCCAACAGGGGGAGACCTAGCCAGCCTCAGCCATGTGGCCTTTACTTGGGGTTGGGTTTTTGGTCAGAATTATGGTAAGGGGATCCCTAGGGCTGGACATGAGGGTGAGGTGGGATCAAAGGCTGGCAGGCTGAGCCAGGTCTGTTAAGGTGAAGGCCAAAGCATCAGGGTAGGATCCATGTGGGCCTAGTCCTGGGCTCCCAGGGCAAGACCCAAGGGGGACTGGGGCTTTCCCGTAACCAGGCAGTGAATTGAGGGTGAATGGCTTCAAGAGTCAGAACGGAACTGGGTCCCTGAATGTAAGACAAGACTCGACTTTGCACCACGTTAAGCATTCACGGCAAACAGTGGCCTCCTCTCGTGTTTGCAGGTTACTACCGGTATTACAACAAGTATGTCAATGTGAAGAAGGGGGGCGTCGCTGGGATTTCTATGGTGCTGGCAGCTTATGTGGTCTTCAACTACTTTCGTTGTTATAAGGAACTCAGTGAGTGTCTCTCTGGTCACCCCACCCTCTGGGTTTTCTCATTGCTGGGTGGGACTGGTTCGCTGTCAGGTTTACGAGTCCATTCTCTGGCAGCTAAAAAATTGGGAGGGACTTATGAAAATATAGTATAGAGGATGCTATTTTAAGCAAGAAAATTGTGGCAAAGAAAAAATGAAGACAGGAAAACAAACACGAAGTCAGATAAAGGTAGTACTTAGGAAGCATTCTGTAAGGTGCTGCAGGCTCCGCTGAGGGTTGGTGGAAAATTTTGGCTTCATGTTCCTAGCAGCCAGTGCGAAGAGAGAAACAGGAGTGGTACAGTCCGGCGTCTGTGCTGTGTTCTGGAAAAGGGCAGCTTGTCCTAGGTCTGAGGCCCGAGAGGAGCTTATGGTGGGAGATAGTGGCAGAGGGCCTGCGGCAGCCCCTGCCAATCAGAAAGCCAGGGTGATGTTGGCTCTGGAGGCCAGGCTCTCGGCTACTGGGTCTGAGCGCGTGTTCCTTCCAGGAAGAGGCTGGCCAGGCAGTGGATTGGCTCCTGAGGTGTTACCTCCACATCTGCCTGTTCTGCTGAGACCCTGGCAGGCAGGTTCTGGGTTATCTCCTGAAAGGAATTCTCGGGATGACTTTCTCTCCCCCACCTGTCATGCGCTTTCACTACACCTTTAAAGAAACTTACCATCTTGCCTTTTTAACTTCAGAACACGAGCGGCTACGCAAGTACCACTGAAGAGGGCCCAGTGTGGAAGCACATGCGCGGCATTCCTGACCATCACCTTTGCTTGGCACCCTTGAATCCTTTCATATCCTTATTCAGAATTAACGTCCAATAAAAGATGACTGGTACTCGGACTGCTTGCCTGGTGTAGCCATTTCCCTGCCCTCTCTGAGCCTCTGCTGCAGTAGTTCCCAAAGAGCCATTCATGTCCACAGCTCAGGGCATTGAACCAGTGGGCTCCTGGACCTGTCCCTGCTCACAGGAGGTGGGCTGTCACCTAGTTAAGCCTGTGAAGTGCCTGGAGGGGTCTCCCTGCTCTTTGCACCTGGAATGTTCTAAACACTTCTAGCTTTTTGTCAACTGATGATTTTACATCAGAACAGAAGTCCCGAATGCTTGAGAATGCCTTCCCCTCCTCCATCTAGCTGCCAGGCTGCAGTCTTGTGGGCCCTCCTGCTAAGGAAGCTTCCTTGCCTGGGGGAGGATTCAGGGAAGCAAGGGAAAACACAGGCCCTGACAAGAGCTCACAACCGCCCCTATATCCAGCTCCCCCCCCCAACCCCATCCTTACCCTTCATCAGAGATCTTCCTTAAAGGGAAGTTAGAAACCAGTTCTGGGGTGTATGGTAAGAACAAACGGATACTGTGGCTAATTATCTTGTAGAAGATCCAAATTTGAATAAGCAGGTGTCATCCAGCATCTGAGATGATGTAAGGAGAACCTCACTTGGCTATTCCAAACAAGGCCAAAGCTTCCAGACTTTACCAGCTGCCAGTACAGAGTCCCTTCCCTTCGGAAGATGTGTCGAAAGGGGACAAGGAAGCACCGATATCAAAGCTTTGTGCCCGGGCATCTCACACAGACAGCAGCCGGAGTCCTCTCCTTGGCGTGGGGTCCCTGAAGTAACGAGACGCAGCTTAAAAAATAAGCTTTTAATCAACCTCATAAAAAGTCTTCTTGTGATGGAACTTGAATGGGCCCAGTTGCCCAGTGGGTTGCAGGTGACAGTTTCACATTTCCAGGTTCAGGGGCAGGGGGGTCTCCAGAGACCAAAGCTGAGTGACTGTGCAGATGCTCGGTGGGCCAGGAGGTAGGTGCACAGATGGACCGTGGCCTCGATTTAATGGGTGCTCTGCAGCTCCAGCTGAAGGTACACTTTGAGATATCCCACAGTCAAGTAGGTGCTCCAAGAAAATCAGCCCAGAGGAAAAAGACCCTCACCCCCGAGAGCCCTGCGCTCTTCCTCTCCTCCACTGCCACCTTGGAGCAGGACCAGGCTGAGGCAACAAGTGCATTTAAGTTTGCCCTGAAGGGCTGCCCCGTTCAAATCACATCCACAGGCACAGCTTCTGAATTCAGCAGGACATGGAAGAAGCAGGCATGACCTGGTCGAAGCTTTAAATGATCCACCAGCCTCCGGGGTCACCAAGAACTGGTGTTTAATGATGAGGCCTCGAGGGGAAGGGCTACCTTCCACACCGACTGCTTAGCACAAGCCCTTTGCCACAACCTCCTCCCTTCCCCCAAGGGCGGTGTGCAGGGAGATCGGACAGGAGGTACGGATACTAGATAAACATGATGCCGACTTGGAAGGACCAAACTAGAGCACTTGTCCCCTTTTAAAAAAAGATTACAGCAAAGTGATAAGGAAACTGACAGACGTAGCCCCTCAGAACGATAACCCCAGCGTGCCTGTCTGCCAGCCCCAGCCAGCGCTGCACCAACACTGGCGTTAAACAGTTCAATGCACGCTCCCAGCAAGGGCCCAGAGTGGTTCCCAACAGCGGGGCCCTCTGGGCTGCTCTGAGCTGGCTCCAGCTGCTGTCACTGTCCACTGAGAAAGGCCAAGTGCCCTTTGGTGCATCTGTTGGCGTAGTGTCCTTTCTCGCCACACTGGGAACAGCAGGGAGGGAGGGAGGAGACAGAAAAAAAAACCACCATTTTCAAATGCAATTTTCAAGTAAGGTTGCACCCACCGAACACCAGGTTAGGGATGGGACTCTGAAATTCTCAGTGGCACCGACTTTCATTCAAACACGAAGGAGAAGGAGCTCCAGAGTATAGTGGCCCAGAAGCTGCAGCAACTCGGCAGATGGAAGAACAGCTGTGAGCCAGAGGCTGATGTGAGAGCACACGGCAGGGGAGCTCCTGCTGGCCAGGCCCGTGTCCGCACGGGCCTGTCCATGGAAGGTCTCACGGTGGGTGGCAGGACGATGAGAATCCCATGGCACCAGAGTTCCCCCACCTGCCTGGGTACCAAGCCCCTCTGTGTGGCTGGCCCGTCACTTACCTTTCTGAGGCAGTGTTCTGGAGACAGGAGGCAACAACGTGAGAGAAGCCACCGGGCTCCTCCCCCCAACTCGGGGACTCATTGTCATGGACACAGTGGGTTGCACCCAGTTTTCCCTCCTGGCTCTTGCACACTTGCCCAAGCTACCCCCCAGATGGGTTTGTTACAGGAGCAGAGAGATGGGACAATGGTTAGATTTGGGCAAACAGACCAGAGCATCACTTCAAAAATCTAGCACTGATTCTGACTTGTTCTGGCTGATTATCCCCTTCTCTTCATTCATTCTTGTTACTCAGAAAGCAGAAGGAATTTAAAACGTTGAACGGCAGCCTCAAGCACTGAACAGAGGGTTGGGAGGAGACAGGTGGGGGCACCCACTCCACACTAACCCACCCAGGGCCCTCGCAGTCCTGGCTGCCTCGGCTTGTAACGCTGGGCTCTACACGGTCCCGGCCCGGATCTCCCACCTACTGTGTCTCCCGACCCCACAGGCCCCGTGTTCTCAAGTCTGCCTGATCCGTAGGTGGGACTGTGTGGCTGAATGGCCCGTGGAGCTGCCAGCTGGCCCTTCCCACCAGTGAGAGAAGCAGAGGGAAGGACGAACCAGGCCCCTGCTCACAGCACCTGGCATGTCCACTGGCCTCCACAGCTGATCCTGGAGAACCCAGGATTCCCACAAGGTGCCTGTAAAGCTCGTGTGGTGAGAAGAGGTAGTAGGCTCTAGCTCCACCTAAGTTCAGGATGTAGGAGAGCCTGTTGCAGGGTCCCGGGACGAGAGGGGCGGGGGGCCAGGATGCTAGTGACACTGCCTCAGGACACCTGCCCGTCCTCGTACTGGGTAGTGACTGGTTGGAGGCACAACCCCTTTTTGTACTCTCCTCACCTGGTGGGACTCAGACTCAGAAATCTGCGGCCTTTAGTGGTTTGGGGCCCCTGCCGTCCCCTCCCTGCGGAGCACAACCCCCCTCCCACCCAGGAAAAGAGCGAGAACACTCTGTTTCAGCTGGGCTGGTCCAGCGCAGGGGCTCGCTGAGTGTCTCATGGCTGTGGGAGTGGCTCAGCCTTCCTGGAGGGAAAGTTCTAGGACCAATTTAAGCTAAGCATACGTCTCCTGACTTGGACCTTCTACTTGTAGGCATGGATGCCGCTATGAGGCAAGAGCTCACACACCTCTACGTCAGATTCAGCACTGGTTTTAGCAGCGGAAACTAAACTGCTACCAGCAGAGGACTGGTAAATTGCAGTTCTGTCAAGGCACCAGTGAGACAGACTAGATTTACGTTTTCCAACAGAATGATCCACAATGTATTATCGAGAAAAAAAAGACTACAGGACATTCTGTACCCCAGGGCCCTATTTATATTAAAATAGACTTTCCTTGCGCTTGTGTGAATATAAAAGTTTGCCACAGCAGTTTTCCACATGGGATGTGAAGGAGCACCAAAACCCAAAGATTGTGACAACACAGCCCACGGAATCAAGCGGCTGGTTCAGGAAAGGTGGGAATGGGGACAACACTGCTCCCAACATTTCTGTGTCATCTAAACGTTTCTACCAGAAAGGTAACTTTGTATTTTGTCTAATAATCCCCAAATCTGAAGTTTTTCTGGCCTAGTTCTGTTATCAGTTGTTTCTGCTGACTTCCCTCAGTGGTGGCTGTTCCCTTCTAGGTTTTGTGATTTTTAATTACGAACTCATTCTTCAGGACTTAGCTGTGGGAATTATATGTGATTGGGTTGAGAATAAATTCCTTGTAGAGCCAGGCACCAGGGGCCCCCATGTGGGGCTGTTTCAGATTGGAAAACTCAGTTTATAGCTTTCTAGTCCTCACTGGGGTGTGAATAAGGCCCCAAGCTCATGAAGGTTCGCCTGGTGACTATAAACTCTCAAGGCACTGACCTCCACCTTTCCTTCCAGAGCTAAGAATAAGACGCTTTCAAATAGGTTTTTTAAAAGTTCACTCCTTCCCTCAGGGGTGTGTATTGGTGGGAGGAGTGCTTTTCTTTCTGCGTGGGCTTAAAGCTTTGTCCCCTTCCCTTGGGGACGCCTTGCAGGATGTGAGGACATCCAGAGGCTTCAGGGCTTACTCCCTTCCCAGGGACATGTGCTTCTACTTTATTACCAGCTTCCCTTTCCTACAAGCTCCGTCCTTTCATCAGCAGCATGTGTGATCATTCACTTGGTCTTGGTGCGTCGTGGAAGGAAGCAGGATGGTCTCTAGCCCACCAGAGTAGCCCATTTTCACTCTTACGGTCCAGAAACAAAGACGGTATCATTTTTCAAAATGAACTATGTGGGAAATGAGGGAATGGCCTCGCCCCACCCCCCAGCCCTGGGACTCACCTTGTAACAGGTGACCTGCTCCAGTGGCCGGGGTCCCCGGTTGCCTGCGCTGCTGTTTTGACTCTGCATGACCCCGATGACCTGCGGGGCTCTCTGCTGATTGGGAGAAGAGTTCTGACTCGTTAACTGGATCAAGGAGGACGACCTTTGTAATGGCGGATTGTTACTTTGCTGGAAAGAGTTACACAACACGGTTTTACTGCGGAAAACACGTGCACGCAGACTACCAATGGGGACAGGAAAAAAGAGGGCGGGACTGCTCCCGCATGACCGGCAGGAAGAAGGGCTTCCGTGGCAGCCCTGCTCAGGAGAGCGGGCAGAAAAGAAACATCTGGTGATGATGGCAGGAGCCGCTGCCCGAAAAACACCATGCAGACACACAAAAACGAAAAATAAAAGTAGAAAACAAAACACCAAAGAGACGAGGAGGTCTCTGGGGCAGCAGGGCGAGGGCATGAGCAGGCCTTACTTTTGTTTCTGAGGTTCTAGCTTCAGGTCAGGATGAACGCTTGGTTCAGCCAGATGTTTAGCAGCCTACACGGCGAGCAACAGTCACAGAAAAACAGTTGGAGGCTGACATGCTGACCTGTGGTCTAGGGGCTGAGAGGGCCCTCCACTAGGGAGTCATGTGAGCAAGGGGGACAGGGGCTCCTAGGGTGGGGACGGGATGGCTAGGCCACTTCCCAACCAAGAGGGTTCCTGGCTCTGGACCTCGTAAATACAGGAGCAGTGAGCTAGAAACCCCCGGTTGTCATGGCTGTTTCCACACTCAGGAATTCCTGGCTTTGCGATGGGTTCTATTTGAGTTATCCCACAACCGCCTAAGGGCGGGAGTCAGTGCAAGGAGTCTGGCCAGCCCCACCCCTTCCTGAATTAGTCTGTAGCACGCAAGGATGGACAGGGCTCTGGCAATGGGCTCAGAGGTCAACCAAGTAAAAGGTAAGAATTCAAGATCAGTAGACAGCTTTACTCAGCCTTTTGAGACCCTGCTTAGCATACCTGAACAGCCTTTCTTCCGGGCCCCCAACCCTCCACTCCCATCACCAACCCAGGGTGCCCTTCGTTTTGGTCGGGGGCGGGCACTGCAGATTCCCATGTGTGTCTGGCATCTCTTCCTTTTATGCCTGAGAGGATCACCTCATTGTGGGTCGGGGGACCCCCTTGTCTAGGAAGGTGGAGCCAGCTGGTCCTCCATCCCTGTTCCCAGCCCGCCCTCCCTGCCAGGAACCTCCACACGGGGCAGCAAAGACACTGGCACGGGTGGGAGGACTGGTCAGCCCCAGGTCAGCTTGCAGGTGCTCCTGCCCGGCTGTGGGACCTCAAGTGAGGCCCGCCCTCGAGGATTTTGTTTCCCTGTTTATAAAGGGAAGGGCTGGAACCTGAAGCAAGAGCAGCAGACCCATAGCGCTCGTGCTGCCCTCCACTCTGGCACCCGGGGGGGCGCCACAGGGCCACTGGCCAGGCCAGAAGGGAAGAGAAACCCAGGGAGCATTCGGCTCTCGCAGACAGCCCTCCACCCCTAGAGGGAGATGCAGAATTTTCTGCTGGAACTCAGGGTGACTCCCCTCCTGTCCCACTTCCTCCCCTGCCTCTCACATGTCGCCAGCCGGGTGAGTGGCCGACTGCGTGCCAGGGCAGGCACCGCTGGGGCCGGGGCACGGTACCTTTGTCGGAGGCTGTGTCTGCTGTGGCAGTGGGGGCTGCTCGGTGGTTCCCATTGGCAGTTCAAATCGAGGGCTGGTCACCCCGCAGCCAGAGGGTATGAGAACAAGGGGAGGAGAAGAGGGGATGAGAGAGGGGCCAGGCCAGGCACTGTTCTCAAACTCTGGCTCTAGGAAATCACAGGCAGCCTCTCTGCCCAGACACAGGGCAAGCCTGGACGTGGGGTGGGTGCTGGCTCTCAGCTCTGTCCAGCCTTGGGAAAGAGGCGAAAAGAATGGACTCGCCTGGACTCAGACCCAGCTCTGCTCATACCTATAGCCATGGGACCCGCACAAGTGCTGCCTCCCACAACATGCGCCCCTTTCCCCAGGGTCTAGCTCAGCTGCCAGACCACCGCTAGCAGGACACGCTCCCTGGCTCTCGCCTCGGGAGTGAGACCAAGTGCGCAGCACCCACCCACCTGCCCATGTGTGGCAGTGACCGGGCACCTGTGCTTCTGCGCAGGTGTCACTGGGGTGGATGGAAGCAGCCCGGGGACTGGGGGACACCACTGTTCTGCAGTCCCCGGAGAAGTCCGACTCCATAGTCACCCCAAGTGACAGATGTGCATGAAGGCCCATGAGAGGAGCTATGAGCCCTGCTGGGCGAGGAGAACCCAGCTTCAGGTGCCGGCACTACTGCCACAAGACCCTGGCCAGTGGCTGAGCCCCGAGCCTCGGTGTTCTCAGACGTGAAATGGGGACGTTCTCTATTGTCTCTGTTCACACGCACACTTGTGAAGAGCTGTCTGAACTAGTGTACATGGAATCTCAAGGTTACGGCCTCCACAGAGGAGGTCCCCAAACTGAAGTCTCCTTCCTCTAGGGCCCAGGTTCTTAACCAGAGGTTCCTAACTGACATGCAAGACATGAGCTTTCCTGGACCACGGAGACCAGCTTTCTTCAGATCTATGACCCAGGAAAGGTTTAAGTGCTGGCCTACTAGGCAGAGCCACCTCTGAGCTCAGGGAGCAGTAGTGGCCCCTGCCCCAGGCCCAGTTGTGACACCTGCAGTGATCAAAGGCCAGGTGGACACAGGAAAGATCTAGAGGGCAGCAGGGCCTCGGGCAGGAGCAGGGTGGGAGAATAGGGTCTGGCTACTCACTGCATGAATTTACACGAGGGCCCCTCCGGGCAGAATCCCACGAGGTAATTCACACAGATGACTCTCCGTGTGTGCCGGTGCCTGCACAGGGGACCTGCGGAGCCAAGTGTCCAGGACATTCAGACGCCCTGCTTCGGGGGATGCCCTCGTGCCCCTGGGCCAGTCAGAGCCCTGCCCACACCACTGCCTGGGGTGCAGAGAACGAGAGCAAGGCCCCAGATGCGGGCTCTGCCTCGTATCCATTCACAGGGGATAGCAGGCAGGGCCCACGACCTCTTCAATGCTAGTTTCCTTATAGGAAATACGGGAGAGAAGGCCGTCCACGCGGGAGGTCTGGGAGGCTCAGGTGACCTGAGGGTGTAAAAAAGCCTCACTAGCCCCAGACGGAACAGGTGGGACAGGTAGAGGGTCGTGTGGGCGCAGGAAGAGAGGACTGGCCTCTTGTTGGGGGCCCAGCCACCTGACACCTACCATGCTTGCAGAAGCCACGGTCGTACCAAGGGCAGTCCTTGATCTTGGACTCGGGGTCGATGTGCAGGAAGGGGCACTCCTTGTTGCTGCACTCCCCTGCAGGGAAAGTCAGATACACATCCATCGGGGCAGCTCGGGGACAGGGGACTCAGACCCCCCTCAGCTTTTCTCAAGGCTGTGGCCTGCTGTGTGGCAGAGGGTCAGGTGCTTCTCATGTCCCCTCCTGGCCTGACAAGTCCTGAGCCCCAGGGCAGTGTCACAGAGCCTTAGTCTCCTGACCTATACGGAGACTGTGTACATGATTTGTACATGGTGCTTCCCTCTCACGTGTCCATGCTGCCTTGAGGGTCAGGGACCCAGAGCCGGGCACAGGGTACACACTCGTCAAATAATTCATGGCTCTACCCCTTACCTAAATGGGGTATCCTGGGCACTGGGGGGGCCCCAAATGCGCAAAGGCACCAACTGAGTCCAGGAAATGACTGGTCTACTCTGATCAGCCCTTCGCAACCACGGGCCGGGACAGGGGAAAGGTCTGAGAATTCTGCTTCTTTCAGGACAAAAGTAGGGAAGACTTGGGAACTCGAGGCTGGATCCCTGGGGTCGAGTGCGATGGAGGCTTTGTGATGACAACTCCTCTCAGGAGCAACTGACCCCCAGCTGGGGGGCTGTGCCATCCCCAAGCTTGCCCTCCCCGACCCATGTTACACATGAAAGGCCAATCTGATCTCTGCTGGTCAGAGAAAATGTACGCACTCCTTCCCAGACATACTAGAAATCGCTGTGAGGTGCAGCCCACCCCTCCCCAGGCTCCCCCTCCCTGGCCATGCTGGCACCCCATCCGTGCCCCCACCTGACCAGCCCATTCTTAGCCTTCTGATCCCAGCTCTGCTCTCACCTCCTCATACAGGCCTTCCCTGACCATTCAGCCCAAAGGACACAATAGTCCTCGTGTGGTCCCATCACCGTCTAGCTCCTTGAGAGCACGTCCTGCAATAATCTCCATCTTTGTCTCACTGGTGTCAGCGGCCTCTTTCCCTGGGCCACTAGGGCAAAAGCACCGAGGGACAAGGACTAGGTCTGTCCTGTTTACTAGGATCCTCACTTGTGTCCCAGGTGAGAGGAGTTGCAGACAGTACCTGCGCACCTGGTGAGGTTCTGTCAGGGGGCGCACCTGAGGCATCGGGGGGCTGCCGGGCCCAGCAGGAATGAAGGAACCCAGATCAGGCTGCAGAGGTGCCCTGAAAGGTCTGTCCAGGAGGGCTGGCTCCTGCCTTTGGGTCCAGATGGGAGATGGCTCCCATGGAAGGGGATGCCCCCTTCCCGTGCTGATTCCAGTATGGGTGAGGCAGGGTTGGGAAGCTATTTCTGACCCTCTGTGCTCTGACTTCACAGCTTACGCTACCTCTACAAAAAAAAGCCACAACTGTCTTTAATAAACTGGTGGGCCACCCCTGTTGGGCTGCTGGAATAATTAATGTCTCCCGAAGACAGTGCTTTGCAACCATGCGGCATGCCCAGCACCACCCAGCCCACCGTGGGGAGTAGAGCAGGCGTCCGGCCTCCTGCCAGGCCCCAGCACAGGGCCAGCATCCCAGAGCCAAAGCCCACCCTCATCCTGACCAACAGGGTGGCTTTCTGTGCAAACTGGCCCCCAGCAGAGAGCCAGGGGGTTCAAGTGCCACCAGGGAGCATAACAGCTCTGCTGAGCCCTGGCCCACCCCAGCTTCTCCACGAAGTCCGCTCAGGACAGGAAAGGGCACTCATGTTCTCTACACAGGGATCAAGGCAATCTCAAGGTGAGGAGTGGAGCTCTTTGCCACCAGGAGACAGCCCCCCGCTTACAAACTACTACCTGGGATCACTTTCCCAGAGAGAAAGAACCAACTGAAGCCCCGGGGACAAGGAGTCGCCATGCTGGAAGCAGCAGCTGATTTAGAGGAAAAGGCCACTGGGAGCAGAAAGAAGGCCTCCAGCCAGCTGCACTGTGCACGCACCTGCTACATTACCCCGCACAGTCGCCCAAACTCCCCAAAGTACTGGAAACTAGCGGGCCAGCTGAACTTGGTGGGCACAGCCTAAGGTTCTGAGGCCAGAAAGCTGGGAGATGGCAGAAAATGCGGGTACCCGAGCAGCTGCTTCTCCCCTCTGGGCCTCAGATCTGTGTGAAGCCTCCCTGGGGCTCCCAAAGCCGGGCATCTGCTCACCAAACTTGGAGTAGAAGTAGCACTCAGGCATCTTGGTCATGTCGTACTCGTGCAGGAACTCACACTGGTCCCCCTTCTTGCACAGTCCCCGCAGCCAGTGTTTGCACACGACGGTCTTCTCACCGCTGATGTGGCGGAAGGGACACATGCCCCCTGCCGAGGAAGATGGGGTGCCATGAGGAGGGCAGGGCCTGCATCCCACACATCCCTCCAGTACCCGAGAACGACATGTCCTGGAGGTGGTGGATGCCTCTTGGCAAAAGGCAATGTGATTTCAGGCAGCACAGAGCCACACATCTTAAGTTTTAGTACTTTGTTTACGAAGACCTAACTAAAGCATTGAATCATGATTTCACAGATATCTCTAAAGGTGGTGGGGGAATGAGCTTATTTCTTAACTGAATTATAGTTCTAATGATATATGCAGACATGGCAAAAAAATTGTAGGGGTAGTAAAGGAAAGGCTGGGGTTTGGGAAACACAACCCTTTATAAGAAACAAGGTAAAGAGGCCCACCAGCAGAAGCCTGGACTCCAAGCAGGTTTCACCTCTAGTTATGAGTGCCCACTTAGCATCCAAGAATTAAGAAAGAAAATCAACCCTGGAACTGAAGAAACGCATTGTATGCAAACTGGGGGAGGGCTCCCTTCTGTAGCAGGACCTGAGCGATCAGCTGCCAGCTGGGACAGAGCCATACCCTTGGAAACTCCTATTTCTAACTTGTGGCTTGGCAGGACCACTGGGAAGACCCAACAGGAATGAGGTTGTGACTGGGAAAGACCTAGACCAGCCCCTTCTAACAGAACTTTGCAGGGATGCTCTTATATGTATGCTGTCCAATATGGCAGTCCCGGGCCACATGTGTTAACTAACTAGTAGCCACGTGTGGCCAGTGGCTACTAGTTAGTAAACACAGAGATAGCCATAGTGCCCTGTGTTAAGGACAGCTGTCTGACAGAAGGTGGCAGGTCAGAAGGCAGAATTACCAAGTCCAGACATGGGAAGAAGACCAGGGGCCCAGCGGGAGATGACAGTCTAACCAGATAGCCCCGATCAACCTGGCTGATCTACCCAGCAAGTCTATTCTTTCTGTAGTAAGTGACTGAGTTATAGAACCAAACTTGCCAAAAGCATCCATTAAAACCACTCCCTTGCTCTAATTCTGTGCTCCTTACTCACTGATAAAAATTTAGTTTCCAAATAAATTTGCCTACAGGAAGAAAAATGCCCAGACCTATACATGGCACGTAAGGTCCCGGCAAGCAATCCGTCTCTTTCTGAATTAGTGGATAGTCTGGTTCCAGCAGCCCCTGTTGGAGCCTGGTTAGTATGAACAAGGCTCCCCAGGACAGACTACCGCTGGGTTTTTGATGACATGATACAGAGGATAATGAGCTCGTATAGACTGTAGAAGCAGAAAGGCTTGGGTCCAGACACTGGCTCAGCTACTCACTAACTTTGCAATCTTGAAAAGTTTCTGAACACCTTGGTGCTTGGCCCTTCTGTTCATGTCACAGGTCAGCCTGTGGCCACAGGCTAAGTGAGGTGAGGAGGCAGACTCAGAGTGAGGTTCCGTCCTGTGTTGAAGGTTTCAGGCAGAATACCTCCTCATGTTCCTCGCCTGTGAAGTGCAGTAATTTCATCTAGGGACACAGCTAGTCTTTAGAAAGCAATGCAAGCCAGAGGCCTGCTGGCCTACGAGTCTGCTAGGGGGCAGGGTGGTGGAAAGCACCTTAGGATGAACGTTGGGGAGTCAGGGGTTTCTTACCTTTGCCACAGGCAGCTTTCAAAAAGAATTCACAGACAGCAGCCCCTGACTCTGCAGAAGGAAAGGAGAGGCGTCAAACAAAGTGAGGTGTGCCTGGGGACAGCTGAAGACACGGGGAGGGGACCCTTCTTGCCTTTGACCCATGAAGGGTTCAGGGTCTGGCAAAAAAAAAAAAAAAAAAGAAAGAAAAAAAAAGAAAGCAAGGCCTGGCAAACACCAAACAGCTGCTCATTTCAGACACTCACTGCAAAGTGAGACACCGATGTTGAGACCAGTCACTCTGAGAGCCTCCTCTAAGTGAGATGCTTTCAAGGAGTTAGGAGTGGGCGTGGGAAGGATGGGGCACAAATTCACAGAAGTACACCCAGTTTGGACTCGGATTTTCCAGAGGGCTAACTCACAGGGCCTTTAACATGAGGCAGAAGGAGGGAATGAGCTCACAGGAGACACAATCAAATGGGGACTACGAGGCGGAACAAGCTCCAGAGAAGGGGTGGGCCTCAGAGGAGATGCTATTCCGGAGGGAAAAGCATAATGGAAGGCACAGAGGCACTCCGGCTGCCCGTGATCTAGTTCATAGTGGTGCAACACCAACACAATTATTAAAGGCACAGTCTTCTGCTTCCCCAGAGGCAGCCATGGTGTCTGTTAGTGACTCCAGGGGGTAAGCCTTCAAAATGAGCCCAGGAATTCACTCGCCATGGCTGCTAGAATAAACCGTCCATGGCTTCAGTTTTCTCTATCAGCTGGCATGTTAGAGTTACTGAAAATCCACCAACAGCGTCTTGGAAAGCCACTTTCATACCTCGCTTTGCTAACTTGCAAGAGATTCCTTGGCTTCTTGGAAGCAGGCAGATTTTGCTAGGACAGACTTAAGGCTGTCAAGGGGGTATCATCCATTTGCATCTCAAAAAGCTTAAGGCAAAAAGTTGTCACTCATTTGCATTTCAAAAAGTTGAAAAAGCCTTACATTAAGAAAAGCATCATAGAAGAATATTTCTGGGCTCTTCTCAGAGGCTAACGTTGCTTCATTCCTTGAAGCCAGAAGTCCACAGTCCTGGGGCCTGGGTCTCAGGCAGACAGGTTAAGAGTATGCCTTCAGGGGAGAACTGACACTTCTCCAAAAACTAAGATAACAATGAAGTGCTGCGGCAAAGGAGAAAAGGTTGTGGCCTCCCAGGGCTTTAACACACTGAAGTGGCTTGTGGGCAGAGTGCTGAGGGTGACAATCAAGTCTGAGGTCCAAACTAGGGCAGCACCTGTGGCCAGGCATGTCCTTCACCCTCTTCAGAACAGGTATGTAGGCCCCTCGCTACTCACCTGTCCTCACAGACTCAAGTATGTGCGGTCCCAGGCTGGAAAAAGGTGGGTGGGAAGGAGTTGCCCTGCATGGATGGTTTCATGGCCTCAGGCTAATGCCATCAACACAGGGAAAGGCCACATGGGCAAAGGCGGTCGTGCACACAAAGGCAGGAAGTGATCACATGTGTCGATGGGCCAGCAGCCGCTTGTAAGATGTGTATTGTAGAGATGCAGGTGGTGTGCGTATAAAATAAGGTTGCCAGAAGTATGTTTCAGGGGTAGAAGCTTATCTTAGAGAGAAGCGTCAGCATGAGTGGGACAACTCAGGTCACGTGTGCATGAGAAACGTGGCCACTTGAGGGGAATGAGGCTTCAGGGAGGCTCTTCCAGGCCACGGACACGTGGGAGAACAGGGCCTCTGGCAGTTAATGGGACACGGCACAGGGAACTGCAGACTGAACCAGTCAAGAACACTGGAGAGCTCACCTGGCTCCACCACGTACCTAGTTGCCACCGACCAAGTGGTCTCCGGCACGTCCCTTCCCCCGCCCAGGCCTCAGATGCCCCATCTGTGGACTGAACCCAAAGACCTCTAAGCTTTAATGTTATAACATTAGATTCCAAGTATGTCCAGAAAGGAGAGAAGAAAACTGCTAGTTTATTTTAAAGCACTAGACAGCACCTAAGTTGGGGGTGGGGGAGCTATCATCTGAAGGTGGAGAATGAAGGGAGCTCAAGCAGCTGCGCAGATGTGATGAATGGCCCGAACTGGGGTCCAGAGGAAAAGTGAGGGATAAGCTCTCAGGAGTGCACATCCTACAAAGGAGCTTGAGAGTCTAACCGAGAATCTCTGTCGCGGAGAGGGGCAGTGGGCCTTCCTTCAGTAAGACTCTTCCAACCGCCCGGTTTTGATGAAAGCAAGGAGAGGGTGCTCAAAGTGGAGGGGGCGGTGCTGGAGGTGGAGAGAAGGAATACCTAACTATTTTCTTTTAGTTAGGGGAGGGAAGTAATTTCCAATCCGGGACACCAGCTTTCATTCAAGACTTATATGAACAGCCAGACCTGGTCCTGCCCTCCTGAAGACTGTATTAGAATAGAATAGTCCCAGGGGTTCAGAGCTTGGAGAAAGGGGGGCTCCCGAGTCTGAATGGGGGAAAGAGGGTCCCAGGACAGGCGAGGAGTTCCAGGACCGATGGGGAGAAGGTCCCAGGACCCAGGGAGAGGGCGTCCCGAACCGAGGGGGAGGGGTCCCGGGGCCGAGTCGGTCGCGCCCCTCGCCCGCGGCCCCGCGCTCACTGTCCATGCCGGGGAAGGGCAGCGGCTGTGCCCCGAGCTGCTGCTCCACTGCGATCTCCAAGTCGAACTTGATGTGGTCCACGCTGGCGATGATTTCCTGCATGGCGGCGGCGGCGGCCAACCGGCCCGACTACTCCTCAGGTCCCTCGCTGCCCTCACACCTCTACCCGCCACCGGCCCCGCCGCACACGGTCCTCCGCCTCGCCTGGCCTCGCCGCCGCCGCCGCCGCCCGAAGGATGCCGGGAGCTCCTGGAGCCCGCGCCGGCCTTTGGCTTGTCCAGACCCGGCCAACAGAGCCGGGAGTACGGGACGCTTCGCTAGGCCAGGCTAGCCGCCAGCCGAACTCCCGCCTCTCCTCGCGGCCCGGGGTAACCCGCCTCCGCGCGCACGGGGCGGGGAGTTCGCGTCTCCGAGTGCGCCTGCGTGAAGTCGGCGGAGGCTCGCGCCTACCAGAAGGTCTTTGGGAAGGAGAGTCTGGTCCGCGGCGTGGTGAGGCTGGCGCGGGAGTGAGGGCCACGCGGCGGGGTGACGCGGAGCGGGACTGGGGGTGACATGGGAGCGGGAGTCCGGACAGGGAGTGTCGCAGCTGGGGTCGGACGTCTAGTGAGACAACCAAGGCTCCAAAGGCCAGTGTGGAGGGGGTCGGACTGGCCAGAGCGCCTGGTGGAGCGTCTAGGGAGGGGAGGGTGCCCCAGAGAGGACAGCGGCGGCGCGTCTCTAATTCAGGGGTTATTAGCGTGGGCAGGTTGAGGAACTTGGGTAGAAAGAAAATTGCACCTTTAGTTTTCTCGGTGTGAAATGAGCATTTCCTTCCGTGACTGACAGAGTAGCGTTAAGAGCGCCCTGAATTAAGTCGTGATTTTTTTTTTTTTAAGATTTTATTTACTTATTTGTTAGAGAGAGCACAAGCAGGGACAGCCGCAGGCAGAGGGAGAAGCAGGCTCCCCGCTGAGCAAGTACCGGCTGCGGGACTCAATCGCAGGACTCTGGACTCATACCTCGAGTGGAAGGCAGACGCTTAACCCAATGAGCCACCCAGGCGTCCCTAAGTCGGGTTTCTAATGGTGATGAGTGTAAATTATGGTTAGAGACGGAGTGCCTGTAGCTACCACAAGCTATCATTTAGCTTGTCACTGCTGTGACAGGACGGCAGGATCTTGGTATTAAAGCGTCAAAAAAGCAGCATGTGTACTTGTATCGGAGGGTTTTTTTTTTTTTTTTAACGTCTTGACACTTATTTCAATATCATTGGGGTTTTTTCTTGCAATGCGCTGCATTTCATTTAGTGCACTGAAGCACTTTATCTAGGGGCGCCTGGGTGGCTCAGTGGGTTAAGCCTCTGCCTTGGGCTTAGGTCATGATCCCAGAGTCCTGGGATCAAGCCGCGCATTGGGATCTCTGCTCCGTGGGAAGTCTGTTTTTCCCTCTCTCTTTGCCTGCCATTCTGCCTATTTGTGATCTCTGTCAAAAAATAAAATCCTTCTTTTTTTTAAAAAAGAAGCACTTTATCTAATGTGGCTACTTAAAAATGTAAAATTAGACCTCTGAAGTGATTGCAGATTGATTAATAAATGAGGCTCAGGAAGGGGAGTAACTTGCTGAGGGTCTTGTAGCAGTTCAGCTGAGTGCAAAAGTGAGACTGGCAGGCTGTGGAACTGGGCTGCCTGTGAACCCAGGTCTGGGGAGCATATTAGACAGCCTCTGTTGACCAGCACCCCGCTGACACTAGTACAGAGGGCCCTTACCATTGCACATCTGGTGAGGCCTGCCACTCTAACAGAAATATAATATGAGCACATATGTAATTTTACATTTTCTTTCTTTCTTTTTTTTTTTTTTTAAGATTTATTAACTTATTTGACAGAGAGAGAGTAAGCGGCAGAGAGAGAGGGAGAAGCAGATCCCAGGACCCCGAGATCATGATCTGAGCCTAAGACAGATGCTTAAATGACTGAGCCACCCAGGGGTTCCCTGATATTTATTTTTATTTTTATTTTTTTTAAAGATTTTATTTATTTATTTGACAGAGAGACCACAAGTAGGGAGAGAGCAGGGAGAGGGAGAAGCTGAGCTCTCCACTACCCAGGTGCCCCCTGATATTTTTTTATTGAAGAGTTTTAAGTATGCAGACCAGGATCTCTAGCGTAGCACTGTCCAGTAGAAATAGAATGCAAGCACATATGTGATCTAAAATTTCCAAGTAGCTGCATTAAACAAAGCTTACAAATTGTGAAAACTAATACTAAAATTTTTTTTTAGCCTGGTATACCCCAAATTATCATTTCGATATGTTGAAAGATTATTTTGTTTTTTGTTTCTTTTGTTTTTTTAAAGATTTTATTTATTTATTTGACACAGAGACATCACAAGTAGGCAGAGAGGCAGACAGAGGGAGAGGGGGATGTGGGGCTTGATCCCAGTATCCTGAGATCGTGACCTGAGCCGAAGGCAGAGGCTTAACCCACTGAGCCACCCAGGTGCCCCAAGATTATTGTGTTTAATCTGCCTTCTTTTTTGGTATGAAATCTTCGAAATCTGGTGTGTGATTTTTACTAAAAGCATATCTTCATTTAGACTAGACACATTTTAGGTGTTCAGTAGTTGCATGTGGCCAGTAGTTAGTGTATTAACAGCCCAACTCTAGCCCGTTTATCCACAAATTTTGCAGAAAAGCCATGCTTGAGTTAACTTCCCTGTGCAGAGGCCCAAAATGGTGTTTTTTTTTTTTTTTAGTAACATATTAAAATAGCTACAATTTTTAAAATACCTGTTAAATGAGAAGTACTAAAAACATCTCATTTGATCTTTATAACCTTGTGGTGAGGTTGGTGGGATCGTCCTCATCCTGCAGCTGAAGAAATCTAGGCACAGGAAGGTCAAGGAATGGGCCTAGTCACACGGCTCTGGCCAGGAGTCAAACTCAGCTCTAACTTCAGTGCCTGGTCTCCTAGATCATAGCTTGAGAATACCACTAGCTTTCGTCTGTTGAGTGGTTTACTTTCCAACACCGTGCCACACGCTGTGTATTGGAGGCCTCATTCGATCATTGCTACAGTGCTGTGTGGGTATTAGGTTTAGGTAACCCAGTTCACAGGCAGGAGACTGACCATAGTGGCAAGTGCCCAGGGACTCACGGATGGTTCTTTGGCAAAAATGAAATCTGAACCTAGGCATTTCTAGCCTCAGCACTCGGGCTTGTGACCACTTCTCTGTCTTCTTTCTGCCTTTCGGGACTACAGACCCCAGTAGTTTTCATTATGTTTCTGACCTGTGCCAGGCCCTGGAGGAGAAAGCCAGAGATGGACCTCCCGAAGTTGGCCCGGCTCTTCTCTGGACTCCGCCCTGTAGGACTGTCTGCCTTCCAGCACCTTAACCCTCTCGTAGCCACATGCACAGGAGGCAGGGAGGGGCCTGCACGGCTGAGGGCTTCGGGGCTGACTCGACCCTGCAGCAGCTCCCCCTCGCAGCTGCCCCTTGGCCAGGGGAATGGGAAGAACACAAGCAGCCTCAGCTCTGACCTGAGCCAGCCTGACCCCGTGGCCTCTCAGGAGGAAGAGGAAGAGAGCTTTGGGACCCTCTCCAACAAGTACTCCTCGAGGAAAATGTTCCAAAAATCAACAGCCCGGTTGTATAACCTACGGCTCAGGGAACAGAGTGCTGAAGACGAGGAAACGGAGCTGGAGCCAGAGATATGGCGGGGCCGGAGAAACACGCCTTACTGGTACTTCTTCCAGTGCAAACGCCTGATCAGAGAAGGGAAGGTGAGGGAACCTTGGGATTCCTGGTTCGACTTCCTTGGTAGCCCAGTATTTCGGAGGGGCTGCCTTACCTTCCTGATCTCTAAGTATTTGGATGCTCAGGGCTCTTCTGTCTTCACTCACCCTGGGTGCTGCGCCAGGCGATCCACCAGCCACCTGACATTTGGGGTTCCTGCTCCTTGTTGTAGTTCTCATGTTAGTACCTTCAGCCCAGCCTTCCTGGTCTGTATATCTAGTTACCCCACCAGCTCCCTTACACTCACCCATACGGGCCTTAATGTTCGGTTCCCAGCCTTGTTTTCCCTGAACTGTCTTCATCTCACTAAATGGCGATCCCATCATTCCATCTACTCAGGCCAGAAGCCTTCAGGCTGTCCCTAATTCTTCTCTTTCTCTCACCAGTGGGAGCTTCAAAATGTTGCCAGTCCTCACACTTCTCGCAGTGCTACCCCTGGAAGCCCAGGCCTCACCTTATCCTCACCCCCTCAGCTATCATAGTTGCCACTGGGCTCCCTGCTGCCCTTACCCCCTCCTTCCAAGTCTGTGCGAAGCACAGAGCCACGCTGTTAAAGCAGATGATGTTACTCTTCCAGGACTCTTTTTTTTTTTTTTTTAAGATTTTATTTATTTATTTGACAGCAAATAGGCAGAGAGGGAGGCAGAGGGAGAGGGGGAAGCAGGCTTCCCACTGAGCAGAGAGCCCAATGCGGGTCTCGATCCCAGGACCCTGAGATCATGACCTGAGCCAAAGGCAGAGGTTTAACCTGCTGAGCCACCCAGGCGCCCCCCTTCCAGGACTCTTAATGTGTTCGATGACACTGCTGCTCACTTTCCTAGGTGTTGATAATGACATTGCATCTATGTTCAAAAATCTCTTAGAGGTGTGTGTTAAAGATCTGGGGAATGAATGATGTAATGTCTGGAAATGTGCTTTAAAAAATTCATATTCAGGGTGCCTGAGGGGCTCAGTCAGTGAAGTGTCTGACTCTTGATCTCAGCTCAGGTCTTGATGTCAGGGTTGTGAGTTCAAGCCCCATGTTGGGCTCTAATTTTGGCGTGGAGCCTGGTTAAAAATAAGAAAATTCAGTTTGGAGCAGGAGTACAAGGTATGAATGAACAAGATTGGCCATTTTTTAAGTTTATTTATTTATTTATTTATTTATTTGACGGAAAGAGAGAGAACACAGGCAGGGGGAGCTGCAAAGGGACTGGGAGAAGCAGGCTGTCTGCAGGGATCCTGACGCGGGGCTTGATCCCAGGTCCCTAGGATCATGACCCGAGCTGAAGACAGATGCTTAACCAAATGAGCCACCCAAGCACCCCATGGTCACATGTTAATAACCATTGTAGTTATACTATTTTCTTTACTTTTGTGTACATTTGAACCATTCCATAGTTAAAAGTTGAGAAATAAAGAGAAGCCAAAGCCCTCACAATAGCTTATGAAGCCTGCAGGGTCTCCTTTTATCTCTCCTACCTCTTTACTCTTATCTCCCCTTCCCTCACGGTGCTACAGCCATCCCGGCCTCCTCTCTGCTCCTCCAACTCTAACTCTCAGGCACACTCCTGCCTCAGGGCCTTTGCACTGGCTGTTTTCATAGACAGTGTTGTTCCTTCCCTCACCTCCTTCAGATTGTTGTTCTGTCACCTTCTGGGTGAAGCCCTGATTGGCTGTCACATCTAAAACTGAATCTCACATCCCCTTCTTTTGGCACTTCTTCCTTTGTTGTTTTAAAACCTAACACCAGGGTGCCTGGGTGGCTCAGTTGGTTGGGCAACTGCCTTTGGCTTATGTCATGATCTCTGAGTCCCAGGATTGAGCCCCACATCAGGCTCTGGCCCTGCGGGGAGTCTGCTTCTCCCTCTGAACTTCTCCCCTCTCATTCTCTCTCTCTCTCTTTCTCAAATAAATAGATAAAATCTTCAAAAACAAAAAACCTAACACCATTTGACACAGTATTTTTTTTTTGTCTTAGTTTTCTCACTTGGCATCTGTCTTTCCACACTAGAAGATGTGTCCCATAAAGGAGCTCCCTCTTGTTCACAGCTGTATCCCTAGCAAATAGACCTTGCAGGATTCAGTCATTGCTTGTTAAACCACTGGATGGAAAAAAAAAAAACAAAAACTTGCAAAGGGGTGAACCAAGGATTTAAATGGGATGGTATAAGGAGTAGGGATGGGGTAGAGATGACTGTGGGCCAAAGGGATTTGCAGCCAGTGGAAGCTGGTCCCTTGGGGCTGCTGTCTTGTGCCACCGCAAGAGTCTGTTGCTATGCATGGCCCCCCCGCGATCGTGCAGCACAGTGGCCCTGAGTGTGCTTACCAACCTTTGCAGAATGTGGTCTCCCATTCCCGCTTAGAACCAGAGGACTGGCACTACGGATGGGGTCAACCAGGAAGCAAGGGCAGGACAGATCCCAGGATTTGCAGAATTAACATTTTCTGAGGACTTACTGAGAGCCAGGCTCTGGCTCTACTGTAGGCCCACAGAGAGGCAAAGACATGGATGGCCCTGCTTTCAAAGAGTTCATCATCTGGCTGGAGGGAAGGCAGACATGGCGGTGGGGCCAAGAGCCTTCATAGGTGATGGGAGTTTAGTGGGCTTTTCTTCCTGGCCACCACGAAGCTCCCTTACTGCAGAGCACAGGGACCAAGAGGCTGGTGGCAGAAGGCCAGGGCGGCTGTGTGGCTCCTGGGCAGGCCCAGGAGGGTCCCTCAGTCTCAGTCTCGCTCCCTCTGCTGAGGGTCTCAGAGGCTGCCCTGAGCCTCCTCCCGTGTTCCCTTCCTCCCAGCTGGCCGAGGCCCTGGACCTGTTTGAGCGGCAGATGCTGAAGGAGGAGCGACTCCAGCCCCTCGAGTGCAACTACACGGTGCTGATCGGGGGCTGTGGGCGGGCCGGATACCTGAAGAAGGCCTTCCGGCTCTACAATGATGTAAGTGGGGAGGGGGGGCCCGGGGCCAGAAGGGGGAGCTTCCTTCCTGGGTTCATCCTTCATCCCAGCAAGACTTCTTGTCATTTGCGATGGATGTCCTCGAGGCTGGATCGTCTCTGGCTAGAAACAAGGGGGAGGAATTGTTATAAATGATAAGCTGACTAACCTCTAACAGACCTCATGAAATGCCATGGTGGAGAGCGGCAGGGGGTTTCCTTGACCAGCAGAAAAGCGTTCGGGTGCTAAGTGAGGGGCGGCTGGTGCCAGGGGGCGTTTGCCGTGGTTCTCAGTTCATGGTGTGGTCGCAGCATTTCCGCCCATTTGGAGCATCCTTAAGTGACTTGCTACCTGTCACCTCAGAGAAGTGCAGTTCCCTCTTTCTTAAAAGTTGTTCTCTATCAATTTGTTGCTTTTTTTTTTCAATAAACTTTTTATTTTGGAGCAATTTCAGATTTATACCAAAGCTGCAAAGTCAGTAAAGAAAGTTTTCAAATACCCGTCCCTCAGCTGATCCCCATATTAGCATTTGGCTTTACCCGGAGCTTTCAGACTCCAGCCTCCTCGGTCACCCGGAGGGTTTGAGAAGCAGAGCGGGAGCCTCACCTGTGGTTTGTGACTCTGCAGGGCCGGGGGACGCCGGGTGTCCTGAGATGTGCTGCAGTGACATGCTCCTGGCCACTGCTGGTCTGAGGGCCACTCTCCCAGCTGACCCTTGCAACAGCCTTTCACGGTGTCGGTATCATCTGCATTTTCCCAACCAGGAGCTAATTGGCCCGTGACCCCTCAGTTAGTAAAGTCTGGAGCTGGGGTTGGATGGTCTCCTCCTGCCTTTTCCCAGACCAGATCCACTGTTTGGGTCTTAAGAGTCGGGGTGACCTGGAAGCATCAGGAGGATCCTGCTAAAACCCTCTCCAGCCTGCAGTGGCTGGTGGCCGTGTTGAGGATGACTCTGTTTGGTGCGTCTGGATGCAGTGTCCGTTTTCAGAGGCCCTCAGGCCAAGTCAGGGTCTGGGAGAAGGAGGCTCCGACACACCACTCAGCCCCGCCTTAGCACTGGCCCTGCTAATGGGCCTGTTTAATGCAGGAGTGGGGTCCTCTCTAGCTTTCCCTCCGTTTGGCTGTCACCTGTATGTGCAGCTGACCCCAGAGCCGCCTCCAGGTGTCTTCCCATCTCCGCAGATGAAAAAGCGGGACCTGGAGCCCTCAGATGCCACCTATACAGCCCTGTTCAACGTCTGTGCCGAGTCCCCCTGGAAGGACTCTGCTCTGCAGAGCGCCCTGAGGCTCCGGCAGCAGCTGCAGGCCCGAAACTTCCAGCTCAACTTGAAAACGTACCATGCGCTGCTGAAGATGGCTGCCATGTGTGCAGACCTCAGGATGTGCCTTGATGTGTTCAAGGTGAGGGTGCCCCGTGGGGGACCGGTCTCACGCGGCGGATGTGAGGCTGTGGCTCTCTGTGTCCCTCATGGGAGGTTTCAGGAGCTGATAAGGAGTCAGGCTCGGGTTCAGCAATGCTCAGAGGCCTCAGTCTGACGGATAAAGAGGTCCTGCCCCTAGGATGGCAGTGGGTTGTGTGTGCTGTGACTTGTTATGTGGGATTCCTTGGTGCCACAGTGAGGGGCAGGGCTTCAAAGTGCCTCAAGGCCTCCTGCTCAGCGAGAGCAGTGGGAACAAAAATCCTTGGGTTTCCAGGAGGTGCCAGGTTTGAGGGAAGCAGGGGAGGGGGACATGGGAGTGCTGAGCAGGGGCCTGGCTGTGTCAGGGCTTTGGCCTTTGAGGGCCCTTTGGCCCAAAGCCTCTTTTTTTCTTTTTTTAAGTTTTTATTTTTTTATTAGAGAGAGAGAGAGAGAGAGAGAGACAAAGCATAAGCAGGCAGAATGGCAGGCATAGGGAGAGGGAGAAGCAGGCTCCCCACTGAGCTGGGAGCCTGATGCGGGCCTCGATCCCAGGACCCTGGGATCATCACCTGAGCTGAAGGCAACCATTTAACCGACTGAGCCACCCAGGCACCCCTCTTTTCTTTTTCTTTTTGTAAAACTGTGCTCCGTGTTGGAGCTTGGAGCTCGGAGCTCATTCGGGGCTTGAACTCTTAACTCTGAGATCAAGACCTGAGCTGAGATCAGGACCAGATGAGCCACGCATACGCACCCTGTGGCTTCTTTTATCATCCAGCTGTAAGGAGTGTTTTTATTCCCAGTTTCAGAGGAGACAGTGAGGGGGTTTAAGTAGGGAGGAGCATGAGCAGGCTGGTGGTTCTGCCCTCTCAGGGTGGGGAGGGAGACAAACATGAGGTGACACCTACAGGAAGACTCTAGGTCCCGACAACCAAACCTCAGGAGAACCTCGGCACACCCTTGGCAGCTTTGTCTTCCCTCAGGCCCATGGGCACACTTGCTCTCTGGTCTTAGGTTCTGTCTTGCTTTTTCCACTGCTGACTGACATATTTCCTCACTGCATGTAGTGAGGTCCCCCCTCCTGGCAGGAGAGACGACCTGATGAGCTGTCCAGGCACCGCATGGTGCACAGCAGCCTTTGACCAGACCCTGGGTTGGCTGCCTTGAGCTGGCAGGAGAGGCAGGATCATGGGGTCTCAAGCCTGGAGAGTTCCTTGAGAGAGACGGATCCCTCTGAAGGGTGCCATGTGAGAGGCAGGTGGTTGAAGCTTCCAGAAGAGGGCAGTGTGGTTGATAGGCCTCTGACCTGTCCAGAGATGCCACTGATATTTTATGCAGGTCACTCTGGCTGGTGGGGGAGAGGGAACAGTTAAGAGACAGCTGTGATTGTCCAGGAGGAGGGAGCACGAACTAAAACCTCACTGAGAGGGGCGCCTGGGGGGCTCCGTCAGTTAAGTGTCTGCCTTTAGCTCAGGTCATGATCCTGGAGTCCTGGGATGGAGCCCCACGTAGGGCTCCCTGCTCAGCAGGGAGCCTGCTTCTCCCTCTCCCCTGCTTCTATTCTGTCTCTCGCTGTCTCTGTCTCTGTCAAATAAATAAACAAAATCTTAAACAAACAAAACATCTCACTGAGGTGGCAGGGTTGGCGACAGAGGTGGGGACGGGAGAGTGGCAGTGGTGGGGTAGTTTGGGAACAGCCACGCTCACAAGACAGAGGAAGAGAGGTCAAGGAGGAGCCCCTGAGGGGCTGAGAGGCAGAAGAACGTTTCAAGAAGGCAATGGCCAACCCTGACAAGTCTGAGGGAGGCCAGGGGTAACAAGTACCTCGAGCACATGCCGTGGACAGACACCGCAGTCTGTTGTGGGGCTGTTCCAGACACCCTCTGAGGTAGGTCATGCCCATGACAGATGGGGCTGGGACCAGGGAGCTTCCTGCCTTGCCCACACTCACAGGTGTGCAAAGCTGGGACTTGAAGCCAGCTCTTTGTGGTCCCAGTGTCTCGGGCACAGGGCCTAAAAGTGGCTGCTGGCATGGTCTTCGCAGAGGGGCTACCCAGAAGTGATGCATCAGCCAGGAAGAGCAGCCTGGAAGGAGAGGGGCAGGGAATGCAGGCAGAGTTGGATGGGTCTGCTCAGGAGCTGGTTCCCAGCCACTCTAGAGCCAGATTCAGGTCTCGCCTGCCCCAGGTACACGTCCTGGGGCCTGCCCCAGGTACACGTCCTGGGGCCTGCCCCAGGACTGTCTGCCCTGAATCAGACCTATCAGGCCCTGGGCTCTGCCACAGGTTCTCACGGTAGCCTCCACTCCCTCTTCCAGGAGATCGTCCAGAAAGGACATGCAGTCACAGAGGAGACCTTCAGTTACCTGCTCATGGGCTGCATCCAGGACAAGAAGACAGGTTTCCGATATGCCCTACAGGTCTGTCCCTCCCAGCTCTGCCTTCCTGCCCCTCCTGCTGCCCCCCTTCCCCTGTGCACCCGTGTCGGGCGCAAATGATGATCACATGGGCATTTGGGCACCTGTGGCTGCCCCATGCTGGGTGGGTTTATGTTGGCAATATTTTGGCCTTTGCAAAGCACACTGCTGCCCACCATTCTCCAGATGGCAGGGGGAGGAGGACCTCGGAGGCGGCATGGCTGCCTCCAAGTGAGGGCACAGCCCACGCTCTTGCTCTCGCCAAGTGGCCTTCTGGGCAGCTAGCTCATATTAGCAGAGCTTACCATCTTACCCAGAGTGGTTGTTGGGCCCTCCTCCCAATGGGCTGCCACTCACCATCTCTGCACGTGGGACCCAGAGGTCTGCATGTAGTCCTGGGAGGTTCTCCCGGACATGAGTTGAGACACACAGCTCTGATTCCACCTCAGATCCCCAGAGAGAACCTCCCCCGCCCCCAGTCCTGTGGGGTGGCGGTATTAGCAGCGGTACCATAGGTGGGAAGGACCCAGAGCTCACCTAGGGCCCTCCATCTTAAAGTGGGTCCCACAGACTGGCAGCATCAGCCTCACCTGGGGGCTTGTCAGAAAAGCAGGGTCTCAGCCCCACCGTGGTCCTGCTGTGTCCGGATTGGCATTTCAGCAAGACCCCCAGGTGGTTAACCCACGTGGAGGCTGAGCCCCAGTGATCTGGGACAGCCCTGGACGGATGCTTTCCTGTCTTCTAGAAGCAGTAGCTTTCTAGTGAAAATCAGCCAAGATCCAGATCTCTGTTCTAGAGCTGTTCTAGTTAGAAACAGTCTGTAATGCTGATAGCTGGTTTGTGTTGTGCACTTACTCAGCTGCTCAAGCTAGGCAGCGTCAGCCGTGTTTCACGAACAAGGGAAGTGAAGCTCACACAGGTTAAGTAGCTGCCCTAAGGTCCACAGTTATTAAGGAGAGCTGGGATTTGAACCGAGGTCCGTCTGACTCCTAGAGCCCAAATCCCTGCTAAGCCTCAGTTCTGTCCGTGTTTTCCCGTGAAGGTGCCTGCTGAGATCCTTGCCCTCCTTAAGACTCTGTCTGAGGCTTAGTGGTCCTTTTGCAGGCTGTACCCACGTGGGCCTGACCAGCCCCTGCCTTGTCTGCACACTTAGCCCTGACGAGGACAGGAAGTCGGATGTGAGGTCTTGTCCCCCTAAATGTGGCTGCCCTTTGAGCTCACAGACAAAGAATCCAGGGTGACCAGTGACCCCTGTATCACATCTCCTGGCATCTTAGCAATGGCGTGGTCTGGGTATCAGAGGGACCTAGATGGGGTCAGAGCAGTCTTTTGTGGAGTGTATACTGTGCTAGGCACCGTGCTGTGGGGTGAAAATGATTTCATCTCAATAGGAGACAGGGCTGCTCAGGCATCCAGTTTGGGAGGCGCTCTTCCTCGCTGAGCTCCCTTCTGCTGTGCCTGCCCTGTGCTCTCATCCTTCCCAGAGGCTGCATGAGGCAGAGCCCATGGTGGGAGCTCAGGAAGTATTGCCGAATCCGGTTCTTGAGTCAGCCTAGACTCTTCCAGAACCTAGCCTCTGTGATCATCCCTCCCCAGAGAAGTGCAGAGAAGGTGGGCAGAGACCAGGGAGAGTCTGTTCCCAGTACAGGGGCCCTGGGAGAGGGCAGAGAGATGAAAGTGGGAGAACAGTTTAGGGGTGAGCTAGAGAGGAAAGGAGTAGCACCCCCGTGAGATCTCCCAGGGAGTCCTCAGATCCTTAGGATTCTTAGTTCTCTGGAGCCTGGCGTTGGGATTGATGCTGTCCACCTTCTCCTGGTGCCCCTTGCACTTGCCGAGCAGTGGTTGACTCTCTGTGTCTGCTGTGCTGAAGGCTCTTCTGAGAAGGGTCTCGGAGCCAAGCTTGTCTCTCTCCGGCAGGTATGGAGGCAGATGCTGAGTCTGGGGCTCCAGCCGAGTCAGCACGGCTACAACCTACTCCTGGGGGCAGCTCGAGACTGCAGCTTGGGGGACCCAGAGGTGGCCTCAGCACTGCTCCTGAGGCCCAGGGAGGAGACGGTCATGCTCCAGCCCCTGGCACGTGGGTTTCGGGCAAGGAGGAGAGCCCGGGCTCGGGTGAACGATGGCGTGTCAGTCAGGCTGCATGTGGAGGCCTTGGAGAGGCAGCTGTTTCTGGAATCTTCTCAGGTGCTTGAGAGCCTGCCAGAGCCTCTCGAAGCCAGAGCCCCCAGCAAGGCCCAGCCTGAGGTGGAAAGGAGCACAGAGCCCGACCACAAGGTGGCCCTCACTTGCTTGGCCCCAGAACCTTCTCCCTGCGGGCTGGAGGCTAACCTCCTGACCTTGGGACCAGTCTCCCCAGCCGTGGTCTCCTTTGGGACTGTGACCACCCCAGCTGACAGGCTGGCCTTGATGGGGGGCCTAGAGGGCTTCTTGGGCAAGATGGAAGAGCATGGGCTCCGACCCAACATCAAAACCCTCACGCTGCTGGCTGAGGTGGTGGCGCCTGGGAGTCCCTCAGAGTCCTCACTGCTGACCGTCCTGGACACGTACCAGGTGGAAGCCGACGTGACATTCTTCAACACCCTGATGAGGAAGAAGAGCAAGTCTGGTGATCTGGAGGGGGCAAAGGTGAGGGGCTGGGAGGTAGCCACCAGGTGCAACCCCGGGGCCCCTCCTTCTCCTTCCCTCCTCAGACTTTCTGACTGCAGGACCTGGCTGCCCTGCAGGGGGCGTCACCCCTTCCTGCGGTAGGTGAGCTGACTGACTAAAGCCTCCATTCTGGGCCTGGACTTGGGCAGAGCTGAGAATGGAGGGGTGAAGCGGCCGGCTGCGCTGCCTGTCCTCACCGAGGAGCTCACAGATGGCAGACCCCAGACATCCTCACACCGCCTGAGCAGCACAAAGTATGCAGGGGCTCTGGGACCTGTGGCCTAAGAGCCTGGTGGCTCAGGAGTATCCCCACCCTTCGGCCACACTCCCCAACACACACACACACACACACACACACACACACACACACACACTCTGATACAGCCCTCTGTGTTAGATGCCCATTCGAAGAGCTTCCCATCTGTTCCTCACTCCACTGACCACACCACAAGGCTCTGCCAGTACGAGGCTACCCCCATTCCACAGATGGGGCACCGGAGCCCTCATGCGATTTTGTCCATGTGTCTGTGTGATGGCTCTTTGGTCAGAGCACTGAGCTGGGCTCCTGTGGGCATCAAAGGTGACAGGGATACAGTCTCTGCCTTCAGGGCCTCAGTGGAGAGCACGCCTTTCTCTAGACTAGCTAAACACAACGGAGCCCCTCCCTGAGCCAGCCAGGCCACTAGGGCATCTTCTTCCTCATCCCCAAGCCCCCACAGCCTCAGCTTTACGTCCCACGCTGTTGTTGGCATTGCCTCCCACCCTGGACTGTGGGGCCAGGGGCCTGGGAGACCACTGGTGCTCAGTTGACGTTGAAGGGCCGAGTGCTAGATGGACAGCCAGCAGGGAAGCAGAGAGACACGGGAATATGAAGGACCTCGGGGCAGGGGGTTGGCATGGTGGAGATGGTTCGGAAGGCAGGGTGTCCTCGCAGAGCAGCTAAATTCTGGGGAGCTGCATGCTTGCAAGCCAGGCTGAGACCCTCATCCAGTGTGGTCCCGGATGGAGTGGTGAGGCCTCTGAGCAGAACTGTGCCCCCGAGGTCTCCAGCCACCCACAGCCTTCAACTAAGAAGACTCCTGCCAGGCTTGGTGGGTCACAGCTTCCAGGGATGCTGTCTCTGTCCCCACAGGCACTGCTGCCACTCCTGGCAAAGAGGGGCATTGTTCCCAACCTGCAGACCTTCTGCAACCTGGCCATCGGGTGCCACAGGCCAAGGGATGGTCTGCAGCTGCTTGCAGACATGAAGGTGAGTGGGTCCAGGCCTGGGGGGGACCCATGGTGCTAACTAGGGATGCTCAAGGGGAAAGCTGGGCCCTCCTGAACCCCCAGACCTCTGTACCCAACAGCCCAAACAGTGTGCATGGGGGTAGGGAGTGTGGGGTCATTCTAGCTTCAAGTGTAGAAAGGTCACTGGCCCAACTGGAGAGAAAGTAGACTCTGGTAAGTTGCTTCAGGATCTGGCATTGAAAACAGGGTGTTAGAGTCTTGAAGGTGGTTGCAGGGGGGAGAGGTGGTGGGGAGGAACAGGTTTTGGCCCCAACTCTGGAGGGGTAGGAGGCATGACTAGAGCAGGGGTGTTACAGCATTCTGGGAGCAGGGATTGCAGTGAACCCACAGGCAAGAGCCGAGGAGGTGGTCTTCTGCATGTGCTTTACTGCCTGGGTCTGCTGATCTCCGAGTAAGTTCTTCAGGCCAGGGAAGATAGGGTCCCTGGGGCTGGGTGGGATGGACCTACAGTGCAGGGCACGTGTACTTTCCTTTTGGAGTAGGGTGTACTCTTGGCCTGGTGGCTGGTCTGCAGAGCAGGCCTGAATGGCCTGACGCACCCAGAGGGCTGCTTTGTCCCAGTGGCTGCCATTACCTCGCTAATCGTATGTCTGTGCTGTTGCAGAAATCCCAGATGACCCCCAACACCCACATCTACAGCACCCTCATCAACGCGGCCCTCAAGAAACTGGACTACACCTATCTCATTGACATCTTGAAGGACATGAGGCAGAACAGGGTCCCTGTGAATGAGGTGGTCATCCGCCAGCTGGAGTTTGCTGCCCAGTACCCGCCCTCCTTTGATCGGGTGTGTGTGCCAACCTCTCACTCACCTGTCCTCTCTTTAACTGCTCTGCCTCCCCCTGCCCACCCCCCTGGGTCTGGCCTCCCAGAGCCGGAACTCCCTTGCTTTAAACTGTCAGTGGCTTCCCTTAGGAGAAATCCCAAATTCCTTAAACCACAGCCCATGAGTCCCTGTGGCCCACTCCATCTCGTCACTCTTCCTGGATTCACTGTCAGTCCCACTGGTCTTCCGTCATTTCTGTATGACACAGCCTCTTCTGCCTTGGGGTTTTTGTATTCCCTCTGCCTTGAGTAGGCTGCCCGCTTCCTGTAACTGGCACCTCACCCTGTTGGTCTCAGCTTGGATGGCTTGTTCTCAGGGATGCCCTGCTGCTCCCTCCTGCCCCTCACATCCAGCGCTGTTCCTTTTCGCTGTGTTTCACAGCCAGTAATTACACCTGCACAGGTGACTGTCACCTTCACAGAACCCATAAGCCCCTGGAGCTGGAGACTGACCGCCTTGCTCACCTGGCTCCCCAGTACCTGCCCATTGCCTGGTGCCCCGTATAGACCGTTGTTCGTCCAGTGAATGGGGATGGCAGCCAGGCCGTGATAGAGTCTGCTTTGTAACGGCCACTTCTCTCCCTGTTGTGCTGAGGATCGCAGGCTGGGGGAGTTCGGATGTAGGGTCCATGGGAGTCCCCCATGCTGAGTGCCCCCAGGGCAGCTGTGGCCTGGAGGAACACCATCCCAGTGGGGAGAGAGGGAGAGGAGCAGGGACATACCAGGTATGGCGTCAGGGACAACTGTGCAGGTGCAACGCATGAGGGCCATTTTGGGGGCTCAGTCAGAATCTGAGCAGAATCTACAGCAGCAGAGTGTACGCCAGGCAGAGGGCATAACTGGGCATCTGAACATCTAGCGGTTAGTCTTGCCTTACTGGTTCTTCAGGGATCTTCCTGTGTTCTGGATTCTCATGTTTTGTTCCACGTTGCAAGTATCTTCCGGTTAGTGGACTTGTCCCCACTCCGTGGTGCAGTGTTCTGAGGGCATCATCTCAGGTTCAGTCCAGATACCAGCCTACCGCAGGCCTAAAGCTTACTGGATTTAGATCACACTCCTGTTCCCTTAGGACGGGGACTTATTTCTGTCTGTCCCTGTCGAGTTTTTGTTTTATGTACTTTCAGGCTGGATTAGATACATACAACTTCTGGAATTCTTAAATCTTTTGAATCCAGCTGTTTGTCCACGTGGGCTAAGTTTTTATCTTCAATATATTTTTGGCTGCTTTTTTTTTTTTTTCTATGCATTTCTTTACCAGCTTTCTTTTAGCATCTGCCGAACCTCTCGTTTCCTCCATTTCTTCCCCCCTCTGGAGACCACTGCAGCAGTGCTGAGAGGACACAGGGGAGGCGCTCAGGCTGTGAGGCAGTGTTAGCACCCAGCGATTCTAGCTTGGGGGGCCAGGGGGCCATCCCTGGGTGTAGCGCAGCAGCACCGACTTCAAGGGACTGTTAGCAGATAGGAACGTGGTCTGCCCCACAGCAGCTGTTTCTTGACAGTAGGTGACTTGAGTATCCATAGTTTTCCTGCCCTCCCCTCTTAACCACCTAGAAATGAGAACAGCTTCCCTGAGACCGGAGCTGGCTGCCTTGGTTTGGGATGATCCGTAGGTAGCATGCAGTGACTAAAGTCTCCTCTGAACCCCATGCTTTTCCATTTATAGTACAAAGGGAAAAACACCTACTTGGAGAAGATTGATGGCTTCCGAGCTTATTATAAGCAGTGGCTGAAAGTGATGCCAGCAGAGGAAACCCCCCACCCGTGGCAGAAGTTCCGGACTAAGCACCAGGGGGACCAAGACCCCATCACAGAAGCCGATGTGGACGGAGGCCATGGAGGCAGGTGATGGGAGGCACTGGGCCTCCGTGAGAGCTGGGATGAAGGGCGTGTTGTTTACAGAGCCCCGCGGGAGCCCCAGGAGCCTCTCCACATCAGGCCTGTGCATGTACTCGTGTGGCCTCAAGCCTGAGGAAGGGTCTCGTGTGGAGTGAGCGCGGCAGCGTTTTGCAGGCATTGGTATGAGGACACACGCTGGGCCCAGGGTGCCTGACAAGTTCATGGCAGGTCCGAGAGCGGCCTGGCCCACCTTAACAGACCATCTCCGGTCACCCTCATCTGGGAGGTGGCCGTCCCCGCAGTGATGAGGAAAGTGAACTTGCTCACAGTCACACAGCATCTAAAAGGTAGAGTCAGGATGGAGGCCCGAGGGGACCAGTTTCTAGGGCCTGGCGCTCATGCACTGGGGTCCACAGACTGCTGGCTCTCGGACAGAATAAATGCTGGACGCAGAAGGTTTAGAAATTTTATTTCTACAAATCACAGCTGAGAAACACCAAAGCCTTTACACGTAGAGACGGTGTTCCAACTCACACCAGGAGCACCGCTCTGCGAGAAGAGCTGCTCCTAGGAAAGGGGGTGGCGCGACAGGCAGAAACCCACGAAGTCCAAAAGTTCAGGGTGAAGAGGGGTCTGGGCCTGAGGGCCTCAGCCGGAGCAGCCCCGGCAGCCACAGTGCGTGCACTCGATGATCCGGCCCTGAAAGAGAGGACAGCTAAGATGCTACACTCCTGCCATGGGCCACCCCCCCAGCTCCACCCCCAACAAGGTGGCAACCAGACATTCACTGTCTACAGGACACTCCTCACAAAGTCTTCTGTGACAGATGCCAACACTGAAGCTACACCTCTGTGCATTTAATTTATGCAGTCACTGTATGTACCGGCCCCCAGAAGGGAAAAAAGTCTGTGAATGATTCTTTTGTTCCATGAAGTGAGCATGAGCTACCCTGCAGTGAGCTGGAAGTGGGTCCGCTACTGCTCACGGGGCTCAGGGCTTCTGGGCTGGGGAATGTTCTAGTAGAGGCACAGGGGCAGAGGATGTACACTGGAATCTGAATGGCAGAAGAGTCTTGTCCACTGGGCCGGGTATGCCTGGATGTCCGGCTGAGGGCCTGCCCAACAGAAGGGCCTAGAGCAGTGGTTTATGTAGATTTTTCTTTGTTCTATTTTTTTTGGAGGAGCCAGACCCTTAACTAAATGCACAAGATCAGATGGTGACCAAAGTGGGCTCTACTCTGGCCACAGGGCTGGGGCAACACCCCTGATCAAATGCCACTGTAGAATCCCGGGGTGAGGGGGGTGTGGTGGCTTCCGCCACTCTACCACCTCTCCCTGCCCCCACCTGAAAACCAGCAACCAGATTCTTCAGCGTAGAATCTGATGTCCTTGGGCCCTCATTTGATGTCCACTCCTCCCTGACTTCACAGACGATTCAGGGAGACAGAGCTGCCTGCTGAGGTAAAGCCCTTGGCCCAGAGCTCTACAAACTAGAACTGGTCTGCAAGGGACTGGTGATGAGGCACCTGTGTGAAAGGTGGCCACCAGGGAGGTGGGCAGCCCCGCCTGACAGCCCGGCTTGGCCCACCAGTCAGCCAAGGGGCTGCCCTCAAAGGCCACCACAGCCAATGTCCTAGGAACTGCCTCCCTCCCCCTGCACTTCACTTCAGAGAAGCTGACGCTGTCAGCTCAGCGGCTGCATACGCAGCACCATTCCTGAGCTGCCCAGTCAAGTTTTAGAACAAAGTTCTGACAGAAGAATTATGATGTAATACATCTGAGGAGAAGGCCTGGAGAAAAGCGTTCCTGGGGAGAGCATGCGAGGGGAAGGGCAGGAGTGCCTGCTGACCGGCCTGAGCTCCCCCGACTCAGCCCTCCCCACCACTTTGGGGGCAGGTGTCCTAACCCCCAATTCCTGTGTGAGGACGGAATTCAGTAACTTGCCCAAGGGTGCAATGGCGTTGGCCCCCTAACACATGGCAGCTGCGACACTGCCTGGCACGGACCATACAGGAGAGGGACTCACTCCCCGGGGCATGGCCAACAGGACAGCCAGCAAAATCGTGTTCAGTCCCCTGCCGCCAACTAGGGCAAACTTCGGAACTGAAAAAGTGACCTCAAACTCGATCATCAGCCATTACAGGGGTAGAGACGTTACCACTTCTAGCTTGCTTTTGGGGACCCGGCAAATGCAGTTTGTTCCAAAATTGGTGTCCCGGGTCTGAATGCAGCGCAGGCAGCATAAGTTCTCATAGCCCTGCTTTTTCCATTTTGCTATCAGATTTTTATCTGCATAGCCTTCTTTAATGCAGTATTCGTAGAGTTCTGTCAAGAAGAAGGGAAAGGGCATCAGACCGTGCTATCACAAAGCTGCCCCAGCCCATCACTACTCTTCACTAAAGAGACTGTTTAGCCAATGCTGACCCCTCCCCACATTTTTTACCAATAAGAAAACTGACAATTGCTGAGGTTGCAAGAACAGGAACCATTAAGTAAATGTGAAAGCTACTCAAGCTGGTGAGCCGAGAGAATTGAGTTCATTACCTCTGCTTATGGCTTTCCTCTTGTAAAAGAGGTCAAAAATATACCGCGTTTTTTGGTGATGGATCCTGAAGATAGGCCACAGAGATTCCACTTTCCTCTTTCCCTCGTGAGGTTCTGTTTCAGCTGCGGAGAAAAAGGTGTGTGTTTGTTTTCTTGTGGCAGGCAGTGGTCACTGCACAGGATACAGGGTTTTTTTTGTTTTTGTTTTCTTGTAAGTAGGGATAAAGTATCAATCCTACTTCATACCCTCTAGCTTGGCTAGCATCAAAAAGACAGTCACAGGGTTGAAGATGCGGGAAAATTGGACCATAGGCTGCTGGTGGAAATGTAACATGGTACAGCCTCTCTGAGGGACAGTCTGGCTCTTCCTCAGGAAGTTAATGTTACCATATGGCCTAGAGGATCTCCTGCTGAGTATACAGCCCAGAAAACTGAAAACACACGTGCCCACAAAAACTCTCCCATGAACGTGCAAACAGCAGTATTCACAACAGCCTGAAAGCAGAAACAGTCCCGGTGTCCATCAGCTGATAGAATGGACTAACAAAACCCCCCACAGCACGGAGCATCATCCAGCCAGAAAAAGAAACGACCCACTACAACACGGATGAACCTTGAGAACATGATGCCCAGTGAAAGAAACCAGTCCCCACAGCCCACCTACTAGATGACGGCCTACAGGGACAGAAAGTGGATGAGGAGTTGCCTCAGTCTGGGAGAACTGGGGGGATGCGGGAAGGGGTTGACTACCAAAGGGTGCAAGGGTTTCTTCAGGAGGTAAAGGTTGCCCGACTCTGAAAACAATGAACACCCCCTAACACCGTAAGGGCACATTTTACAGAACAGGACTTCCATCTCAATAGCGCTGTGACTTGAAAAAAGATAAAGTAAGCCACGTGATTTAAACAGGACTGTTTGAAGTGCAATTCCTTCCGTTAGCAGCTACAAGTTGATCTTTGCCTGCTACCTCCACTACCTCCACTCAGTTTTTACAGCAGGGAGAGAGGGAAGGAGTGGTCAAGAAAACTGTACCTCCATTCCTCCAACTTTGGGGCCACGCTATTACTTGGGGTGTGGAGTTCAGCTCCACACACAGGATTCTGTGACTGAGGCAAAAGGCAGGTGTTGTGGACTGAGCAAGTGCAGCCTGTGTGGGCTGAAGGCCTGCCCTTCAGGCACAGCAGTGGGGCAGGCAGAGCAGCTCTGGGGGCGGTGTTCCAGGGCAGGGAGGCAGACTGGCCCCCAGGAGCAAGTGGTAAAGGCCACAAAAAAGACCATGCAGAAGGGGACGTGGGGGCTGACATTTTATACAGGTGCTCAAAGAAGGCACAACAGGGCATCTGATCAGAGTCTCTAAGAAACAAAGGGGGTGCTGGGTGAAATGGGGGAAGGGGGTCACATGAGCAAGCTTCCAGTTATAAATAAGTCCTGGGAAATGGTGACTACAATTTACAGTACTGTATGGTATATTTGTAAGTTGCTAAGAAAGTAAGCCTTAAAAGTTCTCACAAGAAAAAAAAAAACAAAACTGTAAGATAATGAATCTTTTTTTTTTTTAAAGATTTTATTTATTTATTTGACAGACAGAGATCACAAGTAGGCAGAGAGGCAGGCAGAGAGAGGGAGGGAAGCAGGCTCCCTGCTGAGCAGAGAGCCCCATGCGGGGCTCGATCCCAGAACCCTGGGATCATGACCCGAGCTGAAGGCAGAGGCTTTAACCCACTGAGCCACCCAGGCGCCCCTAAGATAATGAATCTTAAATTATTGTTCATCTTTTCATAATACAGACATATCAAATCACATACAGCTAAAACATACAGTGTTTTATGTCAGCTAGATCTCGATTCAAAAGGTAGGGGGCAAACATGCTTATAGGGCAACTGGAAATAGAGCCTCCCTCCCCGTGCTTTTGTCATTTCTCAATCTTTAGATCAGAGCAGCACTCCCATTTTTAAAATCCCTTTTGGACCCATTTTCACAAGACCATGTGAACATTCTTGGATGTTGTTTTATGCAGGTCTGCACACAAAGTGGAACACAAAGTGGAAAACTAGACGTACGGGTGTCCTGGCATGGACTAGATTTAGATTTTTGCCACTTGGCTAATGCCAAAAAGTTCAAAAGAAATGGCCCATTAACTTCAAAACCTCAGCAACAATTCTTTTAAAGTGTTATTCTTTAAAAATCTAGCTAAATGTCGGACACCTGGGTGGCTCAGTGGGTTAAGCCTCCGCTTTAGGCTCGGGTCATGATCTCAGGGTCCTGGGATCAAGGCCCACATTGGGCTCGGCTCAGCAAGGAGCCTGCTTCCCTCTCTCTCTGCCTGCCTCTCTGCCTACTTGTGATCTGTCAAATTAATAAATAAAATCTTAAAAAAAAATCTAGCTAAATGTTCATTATGCAAGTGTTTATGCTTGATCTTTAACTAGTTTAAAATTCTTACAAAAGCAACCATTTAGGGGTGCCTGGGTGGCTCAGTCAGTTGAGTGTCTGACTCTTGATTTCAGCTCAGGTCATGATCTCAGGGTTGGAAGATCGAGCCATCAATCGGGCTCTGTGCTGGATGTGGAACTTGCCTAAGATTCTCTCTCCCTCTGAGGCCCCAGGCCCCACGCTCACTCTCTCTTAAAAAAAATTTTAGGGGTGCCTGGGTGGCTTTGTTGGCTGGGTGTCTGCCTTCGGCTCAGGTCAGAATCTCAGGGTCCTGGGATCGAGCCCCATGCTGGACTCCTTGTTCAATAGGGAGCCTGCTTCTCCCTCTGCCTGCCACTCCCCCTGCTTGTGCTCTATCTCTCTGACAAATAAATAAAAATCTTTAAAAAAAATTTTTCTTTTTTTTT